ACGAGACGTACCTGAGGTATTTTATCTTTAAACGCGTTTTTATCGAAACAGCATTTTCCGAATTTGCTGCAGTGATTACTCAAAAACAAATGATCCGATCACTATCGAATTTTTTTTACATGTTCTATATATAGTTCTCCGTACAATGACCTATCGATTTTTGATCTGATCAAAAATTCGAATTTTGGTAGGCCAAAACACGACCAAAATTTTAGGTAAAATTCGACTATTTTTTTTAAAACGCCGCCATATTGTCAATGTTTGATTTTTTTTTATCGTAAGTCATTGTACAGACAATATTATCTAGTAGAGAATTTTTTTTAGATTTCATCCACGGAGAAGGCCGGAATCACTGCAGCAGTGAAGGACCTTTTTTCGCGCCGTTGGAGATCGACGATAACTTAAAAAATATTTAATTTTTTTCTTCAAAAATTTCACTGTATATTCTTGAAACATGTATAAATATATTCCTTAAAATTTTGAAATAATTACAATAATAAAGTATTTTTTTAATAAAAATTCCCAAAAATCACCTCTTTTTTAGGCCATTACACTAGGTGTGCCCCTTAAGCACGTTAATATGTATGACACGAAGATCAATATCATTTATCCTTGTTAGAGGAAAGTTTATGACCGTCTTTCAACCGGATTGAAAGCCAACTCTATTTATCCACTTTGACCCTATCTCGGCCACAATGACTTTCAGTTAGTTACAAATCCGTCTGCCCATGAAGAGTTGGAAAGATGATATTTTCAACTAAAATAGAAAACGGGAGAAGTGTGGATCACTTATATAACTCAGTTTTTTTCAGCACACGTTAAAGATGGACACCAGTAAAGAAAAAATTTCTCTTCGTTTAAGACGAAACGTAAGTTCCGCAGCTGAAAATGTGAACAGGTTTTATAGGCCTAATACAATAACAGTAAATCATGCAAAATTTCGGTTTCATCGATTTCGTTTCGGAAATTTTAATATAGATGATGCTCAATGGTGTGGAAGTCTGGTTGTCGAAAACGAAAGGGGTATAATGAAGTTGACATCTCGTTGGCAACAAGTTTACGGCGCATATTTGACTTACATCGGATGAATGTACACAAAGTTATCTCATTTTGAAAAAATCAATAAAAACCCGAACGGACTTTTTACTTGACCTAATATATTGCATTAGTTGAAGCTTAATTAGGACATTTGCCCATCACCTCTTTTAACTTAACAAAATACCAAGCCCAACAACTAGTGGCCACTGTCTTTCAGTAAATCATATTTTTCTGCGTTTAAAAGCTGCTTCTAAATCTCTTCTTCTAATACTTAAATGTGAAAATCGTTAAGTCTGCGTATCGACATTGACATCATAGTTTATGTTTAAAATGTATTTCAACGCAATTTTAACGGTGTTTGCGCATTATATTAGCATTAAATCACACTTCGACTTGGACTTTTGCGAAAGCAATAACTTTAACAAACAATTTCGGCCGCCAAGTAAAACTCATGGAAGGTGTTTGTAGAATCAAAAAAATTTTATGTATATACACATGTACTTAAGTATGTATATGCAATAACTAACATGTGAGCATAAAGTAAATGGTTTATTGAAAATTAAAAATAAAACATCGTAAAACGTGTTGCGTGCAAAACTCAAGCAAATCGACGAATTACTGTTGTATTTGCTCAACTCAATACTCAATACTCAATGCTAATAGCACAACTACATAGTTTAAGTTGAAGGTTATCATTGACAGAGCAATAAGCATAGCCTGAACCAATAAGTTTTTCACTGATTGTGCATCCAACCAACCAACCAACCGACCGTTCATCCGTTCATATTTCTCAATCCGCCAGTCGGTCAGTGAGTTAGTCAGTAATGCAAAATTTGCACCTCAATCATAAATTTCGAGGCCAATGTTCAATTAGTTAGCGATGATGATGATGGCCACAAAGAGGAGGGCGGAAATCACCGTGCAAATGCGCAAGTGCGTTAGAAATACGCGTTCGCCAACAGGTATTTAATAACTGCAAATAGACGCTCTGCATGCAGGCGGGCAGGCAGGTATGTAGTCTGACCATTGTCATTCATCGAAGCATTGAACTGTGATTACCCTCATCTGTAATAATAGCGCCACACAGAGCAACAAAATCGTTTGAGCGCACTTTGCAGTTGATTTAAGCACGCGAATGTTCACAAGAAATTTGTGGGTTAAAAAAGTTAAATAAACAAAAAAGAAATCATGTTTTTGGCGGTCAACAAAAATAAGTGAATATAACACCCTACTTACATATGTATGTGGGTATGTATATAGGCATTGTCAGCGTGACTTGAGGCAAGTCTGCTGCTCGCTTTGAGGTATTTGTGATCTGCCGCATAAATATTTTGGTTATTCACGACGCTTTTTTTTACCCAAATCAAGCGATTAAAAATAAAAAAAAAATACAAGAAAAAGAGCTGTCTTCGGGCAGGTCCTTAAAACTTGAAAATATTTGGGATTAAATATTTTTTTTTTTATTTTTTATTGTGATTTTTTTCTGCCGACTTACATGCAAAAAATCATTTTAATTTTTTTATTTTTTTTTTTGAAGTTAATTTTGATCATTTTCAATTTTAATTCCCAAATCTGAATATTCGGTTGTATAAGTACACTATCTGGCCTACCAAGTTTAATTGAAATGTCTCCGAAACTTAGAGACTAGTTTGCCATCAAGCAGACTGAGAGATAAAGATGACTAAAACCTCTGTTCGTAGTTCTGATATGTTCTACTTAATTTTTACTGGCGTAGATACCGCTAACGAAATTATAATCAAGTTAACAAGAGCGCGCCATTCATTGCTTATTTTCGCTGTTTGGCAAACATTTGAAATACCAAGTACAGCCAGGTCCTTCCCTTCTCTATCTGGTCCAACGGAGCGAAAATAGTAAGGTTTCAAAGCTGAAGTACTCTCATTCATGCGGACTATATAAACTACTCAACACATCATTCGTTGAACTTTGCCTACATCGCCGTATATCTCATACAGCTCATCGTTCTATCTTCAGATGTTGGCATCATCCCTGCCTCCACAACATAGAGCAGGACAGAAATGATGAGTGACTTGTAGAGTTTGGACTGTGTTCAACGAGAGAGGACTTAAGGACCTGTTGTCAGTAGTAATTTTACTTTGAATTTTAAGGCTGACATTGTTGTTGGTGTTAAAATTGTTTCCAAGATTTTCAAAGTTATGGCCGTCAACAGTGACGCAGGAGCCAAGTTGCGAATGTGATGATTGATATTTCGACTTCACTAAGTTCGCTATCAGACCCAAATGATTTCTTATCCAGTCTGGAGAAAGCAGAACTCACGGCGTGGTTAAAATTTGAGAAGTCATACGATATGGAATCACATTGTCTGATATCAAAATTGTTGACTATCAAACGGTACGGAGAAGTCCGTCAGTTTACACAGCCGTGTTATAAGTTTTTTTTAAATAAAATTTCTTGATTTCTTAGTTTTCGAACTGAAGATAGGTATTAGAGAAAGTCCAACATTCCATAATTTTAATTTTTTTTTAAGATTAAGGGTATAAAAACTTCCATTGCATTAAGATGAGTCTTTTCTTAGCTTAGTTGCAGTTTGCTTCTCGGTTTGCTGTTCTGGGTTTATTTATTTCAACCTCACAACAATTGTTGTCTGTTTATCCATTTTCCAAAATTTTAACCCGAACAATGGTAAGTTATGAGAGATTTTAATAGCGAAGAGCTTTTACCTTCCGTAAACGGTAATTGCTACCTCCGACCTCTCTGCTGACTTTACAACGAATATTTATCTAGCTAGATATGTATATAAATGTGTAGAGTTTAAAAAAGAAAAGCTTCGCAAGATTTGACTGATCTGTATCAATAGCTTCTCTCATAAAAGGAACAAACTTTTAGCTTTTCTTTGTTTAATTCGGTGGAGCGCTATGATAAATTCTAATTACTGTCCCAAAAGCAATTTTGAAATCTATCATACTTTTTTTATTTGATTTTGCGGTCGGGAAAACTTTGAAGTTTCGTAATTTGACGAAAGTTGGACGCTAACTTCGCTCCTTCTCGCTTCTAGTTTTTCAACCGTTAGTAAAGAGAGTTTTTCTTCATTTTATAACACAACTTGACATGATTAATTTTTATATTCAAAAATTAAACATAATTCTACTTTTCGTTCAGAGCCAAAAGACCGCATTAGAGGATTGGATAGCAACGCTACGAGTCGAAGTGTCACGAGCTCTAGCACTAGTGAGATCATCTTAAAAGTGTTCTCTCAATGCTAACACCTCACGATATGGAATTTCGCGGCTAGTAAAATTTGTCAATATAAATGCCTCGAAGTAAGCTAAACTTCATTTCCGACCTAGGCTTATTCACACTCAAGTGGAGAGTATGAGAATCGATCGTAGCCCGAACAAACCAACCCTATATGGGTGGTATATGGAACATATGATTTATCCAAATCAAACTGACTGACTTCTTTTTGTGAGGTTATCTGAAAAGCAAGGTTTACGCCAACCAGCCCCAGACTATTGATGAGCTCAAGTCAAACAATTGTGCTGAAATCGACGCTATAACACCCGCGATACTCGGAAAGGTAATATCAAACAGATAGATCCACTTCCCGTAAGAAAACAGCCATTTTTGTAACGAATTTTAAATAAATCGAGCCGTAATTGCGCTTTTTCGATTAGGTCCGACGCTAGCGCACCTCAGTCCTTAGTCCACTACGATTGTTCGTATGGACCTTTCCATAGAACCATAGAAACAGTATGACAAAATTGTAAGTCAATCGGCCGGCAACTTTCCGAGCCCAAATTTTTTGTTTTTATATATGGACATGTGTGTTTTTATATATGGACATGTGTGTTTATATATAATCTCAAGCCCACCAAACGTGTTAGCGGGTAAATATTCGAATAAAAGGTCTTTTGTAAAAATGCCCGCTAGCAAATCCCATTCAATATACATATGTATGTATGTAGAAAAATGCCTACACTCACCTAAAATGTATTTGGAGCCGAGCTTGTGCAGACTGCAAAACTGGTAATAACAATAAAGTACGGCTGTGCAGCGCACAATTGTCATCAGTATCACATCGGCGGCATTGTATTCAGCCTCCAGGCCATCACAGGACTGACTCCAACCGTGACAGGGACGATGTCGACTGGATGTTGCCGACGACGATGACGACGCCGCTGCTGCTGCTGCTGCCGCCGCTGCTGACGCTGAGGATGATGTAGCAGTCATGGAAGATACGCCAGCGGCACCTGTGCCGACACCGACGCCAACGCCGACGCTACCGGCTTGCTTGTCAACTGACAGCATACATGCTGTCAACGTAAGCAGCGCCACAATCACCTCCCACGGATGGGACGCACAAAATTCACCGTGCGCACGAAATAAACGTCCAATCATTTTGACGACGAATCTTCGATTTAAGTACAATTTTGGCGGCGATTTGTAAGATGGATAAACTGAAGAGAGATTCCTCAAGTGGAGATTCGTTGATGGTGATTTGGTTGTTGTTGCTGCTGCTGCTGCTGTTGATGTTGCTGCAGTGGTTGTTGTTGTTGTAGTTGTTTTTGCCGTTGTTACTTGCAAACACAATTTCACTGCAACAATGCAATTTTGAATGTAGGACAACGACGACGTTCTTGTCACTTTTTTCTGCTGTGCACGTTGTTGTTGCTGCTGCTTTGTTGCTATTTCGCTGCTCTGCCGAGTGTTTCTTGTTATAATTCAAGTGAATGTCAGCAGCGGAGCACAAACAAACATATAAACCCAAGAATGTATTGTAGGTAGTAGGTAAATATTTATTTTCCTTTTGTGGTGCTCGTTGTTGTTGTGGGAAATTGCAAAGCAATGAGATAAATAAATAAATATTTTAGTTTTAGCTGTCAGTCAATTGCATATGTTACGAGCGCAGTTGACGCAAACAAACGCTGCTTGTAGATTCGTATGTGTTTCTGAATGATCTATGCACACATGTATATATTTGAATATATGTATATATGCACGTAGAGGAAGGACACCACTTCGTTCCTTCGTTTAGCCAACAATTGCAATTGTCAATTTATTTGCTTTTATGCTTTTCAAGTGCAGGTGAGGTTCTGCTGCGATGACTTTTGTTTATTTTTATTTAGTTATTGTTCAATGTTGTAGTTGTTGCTAATTTTATTTAACTGCTGTAATCGTTAGTCAACAGAGATCTGCAAATAGAGATAAAAATAATAATGTTTTTATTAGTGAAAGCAAATAATTAATTGTTGTAAACTTCAGTTTCAGCATACAGTAGACAGCATGTACATATGTATAGAACATATATATGTGTGTACAATGTAAATATTTGCTTATGTAGGTATGTAAGTGAAGTACATATAAATTACATTATATCCATATTTAAATAGAAGCTTAATTTGTTAAAATTCATAATGACACTGTAGGCATAGTTGCATTTAAATGGAGTTGATGTGGTTTTGAATGCTCTGAAATTTATCAATTTAATAATCATTTTTTATTATTTTATTTTTTAATATTAATTTGCAATAATATACATTTGAATTATTAAAAATATTTTTTTTTTAGAAAATCTTGCGTTTAAGTTAACGGCTAACTGTTAACTAAAACCTGTTTTTTTTTTTAATTTTGCGCAAAAAACTAGAAGAAATTTTACCAAAATAAAAATAATTTCGAAAATGTAAAAAAAAGTGAGAATTATGAGTCTCAGCACATTTTTTAGTGATCGTAATAATACCCACTATTCTTTTTGGTGCTACTACGAGGGTCGCCTGACTTTTCAGCGACCCAAGGTAGTTAGAGATGACACATTATCTCGTTACTGATAATAATAATTGCAGGACTCATTATTAATAAATAACACTATTTTTTGGGTGCATTAAAATTTCGTTCTTTGAACAAGCAACAACACCATGTCAATGACGCTGCGATTAAATTCCTTGTAGAAAAAAAAACTTTTAAAGAGATTTCATTGATTCCTTCAGACTCTGCGCCTTTATATGGGTACGCCTGTTTCAACAAGTAAGACCTTTGACGAGAGTTGTAAAGATTTTCTGGAATAATGCGAAAAAGCTGATTTGGATGAAATTTACGACAGATTGTAACAGTTGATGAAACATGATTCCGAGTTCAAATAGGAGTCGATGCAGTGGATAAAAAAAATGAGAAAGGCCATCAACAAAATTTAAAGTGGAAAAGTCGTCCTCCAAGATTGTGGCTACCATTTTTTAGCATAGCGCGGGAAAATTATTAATTTATTTCTTACCAATAGGAACTGAAATGAACCAGTGTTACGCTAATTTGCTAAATCATGCGCGTGAGGCAGTCGTACAGATGTGGGGAGTTAGCACGCAGAGTGCTGTTTCTTCAAGACAGCGCACCCGTTTACACTGCTCGAGTTGCGAGGGATGCCTTAAAAGCTACTGAATTTACAGAATTTGGCCATCCACCCTACAGTCCGGTCTTGGCTCCCAGTAACTCAGTTCTTTTTTTTCAAATTTAAAAAATTAGTTCCGGGAAGGAAGAATTTCAGATGAAAGCGGCCTCAGAAAACTATTTTGAAGAGATCTCTAAAGAAGATTTTTTCAGTGGTAGAAAGGCATTATATTCACGATGTGAAAACGGTATTTCACTTGAGGAAGATTATATTGAAATACAAAGAAAAACGTAAAACTACATATATTGTTTTATTATTAAATTTTTAATTTATTTACATGAGAGGTAAAATTTTCAGGTGGATGAAATGTTATATTACTTTGATCGGAAGTATGCAAATAGCAGAAGGCATGGGGATAGACCCAACCGAAATTTATGCCAATTGGGTCAAAATGAGGAGTTGATAAATATTAATACCGAAAATTATCGGAATGGGAAATATAATATAATATGATGCAATAAGATAAGAGAACCAATATTAAATGAAAAAATATTATATACCGGCATGTTCGAAGACAGCTCTTCTTTCATGCTTTTGATTTTATTTAATTATTATTTTTTTATTTCAGGTCATTATTTTTTTTTTTGTTAGTTTGTTTAACTTCATTTTAGTTTATCTATTTTAATTTAATTTTTTTAATTTAACTCTATTCTATGACACGAGAGGCGTCGGTTGGGCGGGTGGAGGATATTCGTTGGGCTTATTTTTTTGTTATTTACTTTAATTTTATTTTTACATTATTTTATTTCTTTTTTTGTTTTATTTTATTAAAAGCTATTTTATTTTCTTATTTTGCTTTATGCTATTTTTATTTAATTCTACAAACTATTTTATTTTATTAATTTTAATTTCCTTTTATTTTAATTTGTTTATTTATTTATTTATTTATTATTTATTGTTTATTTCTTTCATTTAATTTTATTTTAATTTATGTTTTTATTATTTTGTCTTATTTTAATTAATTTCCCTTATTTCATTTTATTTTGATTTATTTTTCTTTTTTTTAAATTTAATTTAATTTACATTATTTTACTTCACTTTATTTAAATTTATTTTTTTATTTAATTTTACTTTAATTTATTTTTAATCTTTTTATTTAATTTTAATTTACATTATTTTATTTTTTCATTTCTTTATTTATTTTAATTTGCTCATTCATTTTTTTAATTTTATTTTAATTTATGTTATTATTATTTTGTTTTATTTTAATTAATTTTCCTCATTTCAGTTTATTTTGATTTATTTTTCTGTTTTTAAATTAAATTCAATTTACATTATTTTATTTTGTTTAATTTTAATTTATTTTTTTCATTTCATTTTATTTTAAATATATTTTTTCATTTTTTTATTTATTTTAATTTGTTCTTTCATTTTTTAATTTTATTTAAATTTATATTATTATTATTTTATTTTTTTTTTTAATTAATTTTCCTTATTTCATTTTACTTTGATTTATTTTTCTTTTTTTAATTTAAATAAAATTTACATTATTTTACTTTGCTTTATTTAAATTAATTTTTTTATTAATATTATTTTAATATATTTTCAATTTTAATTTACATTATTTTATTTTGTTTAATTTTTTTATTTTTTTTAATTTGTTCTTTCATTTTTTTAATTTTATTTAAATTTATGTTATTATTATTTTGTTTTATTTTAATTAATTTTCCTCATTTCATTTTACTTTTTTTAAATTAAATTAAATTTATATTATTTTATTGTGCTTCATTTTAATTTATTTTTTTCATTTCATTTTTATTTATTTTTTTTCGATTTTTTATTTAATTTTAATTTACATTATTTTATTTTGTTTAGCATTATTTTAATTTATTTTCTTCATTTCATTTTATTTTTTAATTTATTTTTTAAATTTTTTTTTTTGATTTTTTTTCATTTCATTTTATTATAATTTGTTCTTTCATTTTTTTTATTTCAATCTATATTATATTCTGTTTTTTTTTTTCATTTGATTTTGTTTAATTTTAGCCTTTATTATTATTTTCATTTTATTTTACTTTATTTTGCTTTGACTTATATTACTTGTTTATTATGTCAAAAGTGTTTAAGCTCATAGTGCCAGTTGCATCGTAAAAGAAGTTATTTAAATTAACCCTTTATTAAACTCAATAACTTAACCGTAATATACAACTTTTAATCTTTGCTACAACAACCTAAACTATAATTTTTTAAACTATAAATTTCAACATCGAAATGGAAATGATTGCTATCTTCAAATTAAGTAATTTATCACAACATTGTCAGAACGAATATTCGATACTTCCAACTTCTTAAATAAAGATGATAATTAAAAGTGATTGTGAGAGTTCAGCAACCTAAAAGGGATTGCTTATACCGTCACAAGGACAACGGAATAGACAGCCAATCGACAGCATTCGACATCACCCAACAACGAATAAGCCGCTAGCATGTATGGATATGTATGCATATGCAGACAGCGGGAGGAGATAGAGGACAGCGAATGCAACACTGTACCGCAGCAGAGAAGTGATATAATTTATTGATCATCGCTTGACATCATTTCATTATAACTACGAACATTATTATTCACACTTGTGACTCTTTTTTTTGCGATTTAAGTTTACAATTTTGCCAACGAGTGGCGATTTACTGGAACGATATACACATACATACATATGTACGTTGCCTGATGCCCACAACGGGCCACTACTAGTCTAGGTGCCCGGTGGCATTATTCGTTGCCAATTACAAGTGGCCAATGGCCAAGATGGCCAACAAGATGTTCAATTGGCTTGGCAAGCATAATGTTTTATTGTTGTAATCGGCTTGTAAGATATACTTACGACACAGATAATAAAAACGAAATGTAGGTTTGTAAGGAACTAGTGCTTCTGCATACATACATACATATGTACGTACATAAAAAATCATGCAAAATTATCAATATGAACTTGAGCAGCTTGAGCTGCGGAAAAAATAACAATAGTCGAAGAACAAAAGCAGTAACAAAAGAAATAAATTTTACGAGGGCATGAAATGCTGGTTTCGTGAAGCGGTAAAGTAGCGATGGCAAGCGATTACAATGGCATGCCATGGCAGGGTATGGCAATACGAGTACGATAGGTAGGTAGGTAAGTAAGTAAGTAAGTAAGGCGCTTAAAGCAATTGACTTTGCTGCATTGTAGGATTATTTTTATTACAATAAAACACACAAACACATACACCAATGCATACATTTATATGTATGCTGCTATGCAGCCGTCTGTTCATATACATTGTGGCTAGAAATGGCTTAATCGGACGTCAACTGCATGTAAATTTGTGTACATCAGAGGGGCTAGCCGTTAAATCCTTCTTCTTTGTGAAAAATTTAAAAGTTTTACCGCCAAAGCGCAAAATTGAAATAAGGAACTTTGGAAAGAGCGCCAAATAAATAGAAAAACTGACAACAAATTCAACAAAAAAAAATAGATTTCGGGTCTAAATAAGGGGATCAATCGCCTTAGACTCCGGCGCTGAGAATTTGGGATAAATTAAATTGTGAACACTTTGGTCAACCTACAACGCGTACTTCTCCGAGCTAAAACAGCAAAAGTTTCTTAGCAGGATGGGCTGATAGTCTTGTGCGAATTAGGTCATACATATAACACTAAGAATTTAATGTGGAGTTTCCGAAAAAATTCTAGTCCAGATTTAAAACTCGCTATAAGAGTAAACTTTTTGTGTGTCTTGTTTGAGGTAGGTTTGCTACCTGGCCGCTGTTGGTTTCAAATTTAC